TTCTATTTCCTGAAACGGTGATTCTGGTGCTGGCTCTGCTGAACAGCAGCATCAACCCAGTCATTTACTTCCTGGTGGGGAGCTGCCGGCAGCGCCGCTTCCAAGGCTCCATCCAAGTCGCCCTGCGCAGAGTGTTTGAAGAGAGAGAAAGGAGCAAGGAGGAGAGCCCCGTGCCTGAGGGCATCCCCATGGAGAGCACTGCCCGAGGCTCTGCTGGGGAGGGGGAGGCCTGAGCTCTGCTCCCCGTTGCAATGAGGCTCCTGGCCTTGGCCCCAGCAAATAAACTGTGTGTGCTTTGGCTGAGCAGCCGAGTGTTGTGGTGCTTTGGGGAAGCTCTTTGGCTGGGGGAGGTGTGAGAGAGAGGCCCCGGGCGAGCTCTGGCCGTTGTCTCTTGTCCCAGGCAGGCAGGGCTCTGCCGAAGGGACTGCAAAGACGGGGAAGCCAAGGAGGCTCCTGGATGGGTTTAATGAAGGTTGAGAGAAAGAGAGAATAAGATCCAGGAAAACACTGCAATTTGGAGAGTGAGAGAGAGATGAAGAGGAAAAGAAGGAATCATAGAATCATAGTATAGTTAGGGTTGGAAAGGACATTAAGATCGTCTAGTTCCAAGAAAAAGTGAGAGTTAGAGAAAGAATGGAAGGAAGAAAAAGGAAAAAGTCAAGGAAAGGCAAAAAGAAAAGGCAAAAGGAAAGGCAAATCGAAAGGGAAGGAAAGGAAAGGCAAAGGAAAAATGAAGGAATGGGAAAGGAATTTCCAGGGAAGGCGAGGCATTTGAAGGCAAGACAAGGAAAACCAAGGAGAAAGGTGAAGGAAAGGGCGAAGGAAAAGGCATAGGGAATGGCAAAAGGAAAGGTAAGGAAAGGGAAGAAAAGAAGAAGAAAGGGAAAGGAGGGGAAGGAAAAGGAAAGGAATAGAAGGGAAGGGAAGGGAAGGGAAGGGAAGGGAAGGGGAAAGGGAACTGCAAAAGGAAAGGCAAGGAAAAGAAAGAAAATAAGAAGAAAGGGAAAGGAAGGGAAGGAAAGGGAAAGGAAGAGAAGGAAAATCAAGGGAAGGGAAGGGAAAGCAGGTGAATGGAAGGGAAGGAATGGCTAGGGAAAAGGGTAAGGAAAAGGAAAAGGGAATGGCAAAGGGAAAGGAAAGGAAAGGAAAGGAAAGGAAAGGAAAAGGAAAAGGAAAAGGAAAAGGAAAAGGAAAAGGAAAAGGAAAAGGAAAAGGAAAAGGAAAAGGAAAAGGAAAAGGAAAAGGAAAAGGAAAGGAAAGGAAAGGAAAGGAAAGGAAAGGAAAGGAAAGGAAAGGAAAGGAAAGGAAAGGAAAGGAAAGGAAAGGAAAGGAAAGGAAAGGAAAGGAAAGGAAAGGAAAGGAAAGGAAAAGGAAAACAAAAGGAAGGGGAGGGGAGGGGAGGGGAGGAAAGTGCAAATGAAGGAAAAGGGGAGGTAGGAAGGGAACTAAGACCCAAAGAAGCAATGAGTGCGAGAGAGAGATGCAAAGAAAGCAAACGAGAAGGAGAAACTGCCCTGCACAGAAGCCCTCGGCCCCGCCGCTCACCCAGACCGTCGAGTCAGGGGGCTGCGGGGTCACATCCAGCCCACGCCCGGCGCTGTTGCCTCTAGATGGCAGCAGAGGGGTTCTGATCATACCGAGCATCTGATCACGACTCGGGGTCTGATCGTGAAGCTACATGATGAGATCAAACATCTAAGAGGCATTTATTAAGTGTTGCTTTCCGGAACAGGGCAGGAATCTTCTGTAGTTGAGGGCTTTTTCTCCCTCTCCCATTTTACAGTCCTTTGGTGTGTAAAAACTTTCCGAGTTACAACCTGGCCAGCAAAAGCTCCCACCATCCACAGGATGTCTCCCAGGGCAAGTGCAGGACCATGATCCTCACAAGGACTTTTCCTGCTTCCTAGGATCAGCCTTGCCTGCTTTATCACCCAGGCCGCCTCCCATCTGAGCTTCTTGGTTCTACCAGAATTTGATGGCTTTAGTTATCTTGGCTCTGTGCCTGTGCTGCACCAAGGGATTGATTTCCATTCCAGCCACTCCAGTGACCTGTTGCTCTGAGGAACAAGCCAAAGGGCAGAGAACCTTCTGTCACCATCCCAGCTCCCAGAGACCACAGCATCCATAGCTCTGCTCTGCTCATGCCCTTTCTCCCTCCACCTTTCCCTGCCTACTGCATCTTCCCAACCTTGTGCTCCCTACTGAAGTTAATGCAGACTGGTGAGGAGTCATGCCAGGGAGCAACACAGCTCTGAAGCAAATGAGAGCTGGTGTATCCTCCAGCTCCCTGATAGCAAGGACTGGCAGACACAGAGAGGAGAGGGAAGCAGAGAAAGGGAGAGATAGAAGAAGAGAAAGTGCTGACATGACCCCTTTTACCCGGAGAGTTCTTGAGCCAAACTAGAGGGGTTCAGTCCTCACTGCCTCAACAGCAATCCACTGTTTTCTTTGCCTCTCCCTGTATCCTCTTTCACATGGAAAACCGAGTCTTTACAGAGCCTCCATTGCTTTTGGCGTTGTTTGATTTTAACCCTACTCCTTTTGCTTTCTAGATGAGGAACAGGCACACCAGAAGTGGATACAGACCTCGGGTCACGGTTGCGAAATGCTGTTTGCTCAAGCCAACCCATCCCGACAGCCCAGAGTAAAGCAGGAAGAGCCCCAAGAGGCAGTTCCAGTCAAGAACCCACATCATGTGCAGACAAAACTCCATCTGCAGCAGAAGCATTTCGGGGAAAGCCTTTCAGGGGCAATCCCAACCACATGCCTGTTTGCCTGGTAATGACGCTGGATGTGAAATCTTCACATGCTCTTCACACATGTCTGGAGATGCAGGCACAAGGGTTTGCCCTGGAATTGTTCTGCTTTGCTGTGCCAAGCATTCTGATCCACCTCAAGCTGCTCTGTTAAGCAGACACACCAAAAACACCCCCACGAGCAGGAGGGAAGAGCCTCCAGGGCTCTGTTTGAGCAAGATCGCTTTTGAGATGGGGAAAGCTCAGACCTGTTGAATAGGACAGATTCAGAGCAAAAGTTTTGAATAGTCCCAGACTGGTTTGGGTTGGAAGGGAGCTTAAAGCCCATCCAGCTCCAACCCCTGCCACGGGCAGGGACACCTTCCATAGAGCAGCTTGCTCCAAGCCCCTGTGTCCAACCTGGCCTTGAGCACTGCCAGGGATGGGGCAGCCACAGCTTCTCTGGGCACCCTGTGCCAGCGCCTCAGCACCCTCACAGGGAAGAGCTTCTGCCTAAGAGCTCATCTCAGTCTCCCCTCGGGCAGGTTCAAGCCATTCCCCTTGGCCTGTCCCTACAGGCCCTTGTCCCAAGCCCCTCTCCAGGTTTCCTGCAGCCCCTTTAGGCAGTGGAGCTTCTCTAAGGTCTCCTCTTAAGGAGCCTTCTCTTGTCCAGGCTGCCCCAGCCCAACTGTCTCAGCCTGGCTTCAGAGCATAGGTATTTCATCACTTTGTTCAGTGTTCTCTCCCATGCCACCCAGCACACTGTCACGCTGCAGCTAATCCTGTTCTGGCCCATATTCCTTCTCTCCATCCCTGGAGCATCTTCTCCCTGGGGCGGGGGGGGGAGGTTGCAGAGGTTTAAACAGCTGGTTCCACTGTGTTTGCTCTGGGAGTTTCACCTCTGTTCTGAGGCTCTGCTTCATCTCCAAAAGCCCTCTTGAAAGCAACCCTCACAGAGAGTGTGAACTTGTTTGTGCAGCTCCCAGCCAAGAAGTAAATAGCAGGGTTGATGCTGCTGTTCACACAGGCCAAGGGCAGAGAGGCATCGAAGACAAAGACTGAAAAATCAAACAGCCTTAGCAAAAGCCAATACTCAAAATCAGCTGTGAAGAAGGGGAAGAAGACGACAGCGAGCAGGACCACAGCACAGAGCTTCCCTGGAGGATGCTGCCATGAACAGCACAAGACCCTGGCAAGCAGGGTTAAACCAGATAAAACCAGGGTAAGTAGTGATAAGAGGTAGCTGAGGATGAAGGCAATGAGTGCTGCAGGGCAGAAGAAGAGGGTCAGGGCGAGAAGGAAGGAGAGGGCCCAGAACAGGGCACACACAAGCACTGGCAAGCACTGGGAGCGGTGGCAGTGGGCCATGGGGAGGACAGACAGAGCTGCCATGGCACTGAAGGCTGTCAGGAGGAAGACGCTGGCGGTGAAAGAGAAGAGAATGGTGATGTTCAACACAGTTGTCACGTCCCGTGAGCCCAGCCTGTGGCAAAGGGTCTCTGGGCCATAAAGTACCCCAAGGGCAGTGGTGATGGAGAGGAGGAAGGTGAAGTCAGCCACGGCCAGGTTGAGGACGTAGATGGTGATGGGGTTCCTGTGGACGTGGGAGGTGAAGAACCAGAGCACAGCCGCGTTCCCCAGCAGCCCGCAAAGGCAGATGAGCAGCGTGGCAGGGACTTTGCTCCAGTGACCAGGTTCACAGTTGGTCCAGTTGTAGTGAGTGTCCCCATGCATCAAGAGCTGGTGATGCCAACTCCTGTTCCACACTGGCTGGCTCCAGCAAGCAGGGCTGGCTCCTTCCACGGCAGGGAGGGATGTGCTCATTGCAAAACCTCTGCTGCTTCTCCTTCCTCCTCACACAGCTGCAGGGATGAGAGGAAGCAGAGACACCTTAGAACCTCTGTTGTCCCTCACAATAGGCTTTCAGATCTTTGCAGCCATGCCCCAGCTTCTGCATGGAGGAGCACAGAGAGAAATGAGGGACAGGAGAGGTGGAAGACAGGATGTGGGGAGATGGGGTTGACATACCTGGCACAAAAAGCATGTATAGAGGTGGAGCCAAAGCTGGGGAGATGCCTCCTTCCCGGCTTTTAATGAAACAGATCTGGAGGGGAGAAATAATAAGATAAAAGGATTGTCCTTGGAGGTGCCTGTGCAGGTAGTTGGAAATAGATGATCCTTAAAGTCCCTTCCAACCTAAGCCGTGCTGGGATTCTATGTCAAAGATCAAGTTATTTACGGGGTGGATCTGATAGGGATTCTCAGGTATCTAATATTATAGCTGACGTTACCAAGCTGCTGGGTTCCTTCAGTGGGACACTCATTTCACTGCTCCCCTACCACCTTTTCCCATGGGTCTCCATACCCCACAGACCACCATTCCCCAGTAGTGACCAACAGGTTCAACACCAGTGAGGGGAGGCGCTAAATTAAGCTGGAAAATACCACCCAGAAAGGTCTGACCTTGTCTCCTCTGGTAGCCTGGAGCAGACGCCCATCACCTCCGCTCACCACCTCCTGCCTCTGTGATGCTTCACGAGGTTTCCTGGAATTAGCACTTGGAAAGCTGGACCGAAACCTTGGTGAGCCTGTGCAGCCTCCAGCAAGGGGTCGTTCTCAGCTCCTTTCACAAAGCAGCTTGCTGACAGCCAAGCAGGTCAAGGGTTCCTGTAAAGAGGGGGCTATTTCATTGTGTTTGACAGGAGCAGGGTTCTGGCTATAGACTCTTCCTCGCACAGGAAATGACTAAAAGGACTCTCAGAAATCAGACCTATGGGAAGAGCTGATTGTTGCCTGTGTCATGTTCCTCTTTTATTTCATTTTAAAGCAACCCCAGTCCCAAAATACTCCTCTCTTTGGACGGAATGAACTTTCCTCCTCCTCCCATTCCAGGCAGATATCTTTAGGACCCAGTGCTACAAGCTGGGAGTTGCAGCAAAACCTCTATTTCTGATTCAGATCTGGGTTTGAAACCCATACACCACAATTTCACTGCAATACTTGACCTTCAAATGCACCATTTCCAAGAGCACCAAGCAGCAAAGAAAAGATGGATCAGGATTCCAGGAAAATCTGGGGTTTCCTAAGGAGAGGTGAATCAGAGCTGCTCACTTGGTTTTAACCATCTAAAAGTTATGGGTTTCATCTGAGTTTCTTCTACAGTGCCTCAGACAGGCCCATGAAATTTGTAGAGAGCTGAAGGGAGGTGAGATGGCTCCTACCCAGGCTGACTGTGGTGCAGGACAAACGCAAACAGCTCCTGTTGCATCTGGGAGCAGGGATGCTCCTGCTGGGAACTGGCACATGTGGGGACTGCAGGACCAAAGCCACCTCCTCTCTCCCTTGGTGATGCTGTGCTTGTGTCCCCAGCTGGAGAATCTCACATCTTGCAATGCCAATGCTTTCAAGTGCAAACAGGTCATGAGAAGAGAATCAGAGAAACAGAGAACCATGGAATGGTTTGTGCTGGAAGGGACCTTAAAGCTCATCCAGCTCCAACCCCTGCCACAGGCAGGGACACCTCCCACTAGGGCAGCTTGCTCCAAGCCCCTGTGTCCAACCTGGCCTTGAACACTGCCAGGGATGGGGCAGCCACAGCTTCTCTGGACACCCTGTGCCAGCGCCTCAGCACCCTCCCAGGGAAGAGCTTCTGCCTAAGAGCTCAGCTCAGTCTCCCCTCGGGCAGGTTCAAGCCATTCCCCTTGGCCTGTCCCTGCAGGCCCTTGTCCAAAGCCCCTCTCCAGGTTTCCTGTAGGTCAAGGTACATCAACATCTACCCATGTGCTCGAGAAAAGAGCAGAATCAGACAGGGTTTCTCAGCTTCTGCTTTTGTGGGTAACATCCTGAGAGCGATTTCCAGCACATGATTTACAGACACGGGCTGTTTGCTTGTTTTGGGGTCAGGCTTGTGTGTGACCAAAGACACCTACAGCCTGTAAATGCTACGGCTCTGGTTGCAGTTGTTTCTGTGTGCTGGGAAAGCCAATAACACCATCTGGCAGGCAGAGCTCAGCCTCCTCCAGCCATCACACACGAGAACCATCCTTCTCTGTCTGCCTCTTTTCTTGCCTCTGCCCTGGTGGTTTGCTCCATGGGCTTCTCCATTCACTGCACAGAACTGCACTTGCCAGCAGCCATCAGGCACTGGCTGGCTGTCCATCCTCTGTCCAACCCAGAGTGCCCACCCCCAGCAGCACTTGCCTCTTTGCCTGTCCCTGCTCCCCCAACTAAACCCCCTTGGAAGGGTAGAGGTTGAGTGATGCTTCCAGCTCCATCAGCCAGGCTGAGATGGGTTTTCTCTGTCAGACTCTGCCACAGGAGGACAGAAAGACAGAGGGAGCTGAGAGCATCCTTTCTGTCCCTTCACCATCACCTCCTGTGGTCTGGAGGCTTTTGAGGATCAGAGTAGTGAGTGGTTGGTGCTTTAGTATCAGGCATCAAGGTCCCAGGAGCAGATAGAGGCAGGAAGAGTTGGGACTTCCTATGTGGGAAGCAGACAAGATGCAGATTGAGGCCCAGGAGCATGGCTGTGCTAACCCTGGAGAACAGGAGAATGGATAAGGCAGGACCTCCTGGACCACATCGTTTCAGCATGTATCTTGCATGTACAACGCCTAATGGGCAGCGTGAGGGGATGGTCACATCCATGATTTCGAGAACAAGCTCCCCATGGAGCCATCAAGGAAGAAACCGCAGTCACCAGTAAGTTACCCAAAAGACACCTTTATTTAAATAACTTAAAACCAAGTTCGAGCTGGGAACCAGCCCTGCCCATGGCCACGTCCTGGGGGACACCACTGTCCACTGCTGGTCCTGCTCACCCAGCCAGGCCATGGGGTGCTGTCCTGGGCTGCAAAGGCAGGGCCACCCCTCTCCAGTCTCGGCCACAGGGGTTTAGGCAGCGATTTCCATCACAGGGGTCCCACCTCTTGGGAATCTGCCTTATCTTCAAAGACCCTCTGAAGAGCCACTTTGAAGGATCCCCTGAACGTGAACTTCCCATAGCTCCCAACCAGGACGTAAATAACGGGATTGATGCTGCTGTTAAAAGAGGCCAGCAAGAGGCAGACCTCAAAGACAAAGTTAATATACACAAAGAAGTTGAGGAAGATCTGGACACTGAGTGGGATGCCAAAGAGGAGGAAGAAGAGAACGGTGAGGAAGATGACTGCGTACAGCCTCCCTGGGTGGTGTTGCCAAGAGCTGCGTCTGAGCTTGACGAAGAGGATCACGTTGGAAAGAACCATAAAGGGAGTGAAAAGGCAGAAATTGAGGCAGCACAAGAGCCCGAGAACCGTCCAGCAGTGCTGGGAATGATCCGGGTCACACACGAAGTGCACCAGCCCCGCAAGCACACAGGAGAGGGCCCACAGCAGGATACACATTGCAGCAGAGAGGGGCTCCGGGCGGTGGCCTCGGCACCAGAAGGGCCAGAGGACACCCATACACCTCTCCACGCTGATGGCAGTGAGGAGGTAGAGGCTGGTGCCGTAGGTGAGCAGGACCATGGAGTGAAACAGCTGCAGCACCCCCAGGAGCGCTGGCTGGGAGCAGCTGAGCATGGGCATGTGATAGACCACAAGGAAAGCCGATGTGAAGAGGAGAAAGCAGGAGTCGGCCACGGCCAGGTTCAGGAGGTAGGCGGTGAAGGGGCTCCTCCTGATGCGGAAGCCAAGGAGCCAGAGGATGGCTCCGTTCCCCACCAGCCCACACAGGCAGATGAGCAGGGTGATGCTCCCAGTGACGAGTTCGGGGATGTGCTCTGCAAAGCACCGGGTCCCGTTGTGTTCAGCCTCATAGACCAGGCTCTCTGTGGGTGCTGGGGACACCATATGCGAGTCATGGATCGTGCCGTTGGGATGTCGGTTCATCTTCCTCTTCTTGTGCTCGCCTGGGGAAAGGCAAGAGATGAAGGCACAATCAGTGGCTTTCAGGTCACCAGTACTTGGAATGTCCTCTGGTAATCCTGGTTTCTGCAATCCCTCACAAGCTACAGCATCTGCTAGCCAGAGAACTTAAGAACTGAGCAGTGAGAGGAGAGTGGAGTGGGGAAGGGAAGGGAAGGGAAGGGAAGGGAAGGGAAGGGAAGGGAAGGGAAGGGAAGGGAAGGGAAGGGAAGGGAAGGGAAGGGAAGGGAAGGGAAGGGAAGAGAAAAGAAGAGAAGGGGAAGGGAAGAGAAGGGGAAGGGAGGAGAGGAGAGGAGAGGAGAGGAGAGGAGAGGAGAGGAGAGGAGAGGAGAGGAGAGGAGAGGAGAGGAGAGGAGAGGAGAGGAGAGAGGAGAGGAGAGGAGAGGAGAGGAGAGGAGAGGAGAGGAGAGGAGAGTAGAGGAGAGGAGAGGAGAGGAGAGGAGAGGAGAGGAGAAGAAAAATAGGGATAGGAGGGAAAAGCTTGGCCCAGGGGGACAGGAGACAGACTTGGAAGAGGAGTGGAGGGAGGAACAAGAGGCAGGTGGAGCCATTTGGCCTTGAAGGGCTGAAAACAGCTGAGGAGACAGATGGGAAGAATGAAGAGGACAGAGGCAGGATTGGAGGTGAGTCCCAGACCCCTCTCACCAGGCAGGGGAGGGCAGAATCCTTGCACAGTTTGGTTTCCAGAGCTGCAGTCCTCTGCGTCAGACTTGCAGATGAAACCTTTCCACAGCTGCTATGCCAAAACCATCCCAGATGAGATCTGGCCACCAGGAACAAGGTGATGAGGTTCCTCCAGCAGTTTGCGTGTGGGCTCTGGTACCGCGGCTCTTCCTCAGCTCCAAATGGGCCCTGGGACCACGGCTTCTGCTCAGGGGTGGTCGCTGAAGGGATGCAGATGTGCCAGGGCTTGGGCATCACTTGTGAGAGCAGCGGAAGCAGATTGCCAAAGACCCACGCTCACAGGACGGGCGTTGCAGACCCATGGGCTGGTTGCTTCAAATGCTTCCTCTTTGCAAACCTGCTGTTGTGTTGTTTTCCTTCTTGTTCTCCTCTTCTGAGCCCATCAGCAACACCCCTGATGTGTCACAGTTCCCATCCATGTGAACGTGCACATTTCGCTGTCACAAAGAAGCCACCATCAGCCCCAGGGAGATGATGCTGAGTGTCACTTCCCTGTCTGCAAGAGCTGAGTGGACGCCTCCATCACCCCATGCCATGGGGCTGGGCAAGAGGGAAGAGGGATGGAGTGATGCAACCAGCCACTGCATCCCAGGGATGACACACACCACTGGACCTGCCCCTCACTGGTGCTGGCTGCTCCATGCCCCATCCTCACGTCTCACAGTGCTGAGGCTGCAGGGATGCAGCGTGAGTCCTGGGAGGAGAACTTTGCTCATTGTGTGGTCTCTGTCCTGCTTCCCTGTCTGCTGTGTCTATGCCCCATAGAATCGTGGAACGGTTTGGGTTGAAGGGATCTTTAAAGCTCATCCAGCTCCAACCCCTACCACGGGCAGGGACACCTTCCATAGAGCAGCTTGCTCCAAGCCCCTGTGTCCAACCTGGCCTTGAGCACTGCCAGGGATGGGGCAGCCACAGCTTCTCTGGGCACCCTGTGCCAGCGCCTCAGCACCCTCCCAGGGAAGAGCTTCTGCCTCAGAGCTCATCTCAGTCTCACCTCGAGCAGGTTCAAGCCATTCCCCTTGGCCTGTCCCTACAGGCCCTTGTCCCAAGCCCCTCTCCAGGTTTCCTGCAGCCCCTTCAGGCACTGGAGCTGCTCTCAGGTCTCCCCTTCAGGAGCCTTCTCTTCTCCAGGCTGCCCCAGCCCAGCTCTCTCAGCCTGGCTCCAGAGCAGAGCTGCTCCAGCCCTTGCAACATCTTCATATTCTCCTTAGGACCACTGTGATCCCAAGAAACAAACAAATATTGGAAGGAGTTAAAAAGAAGGCAGGAAGCAGAATTGGATATTGGTCTTTTACCATCTCTGCCATATCCAGGGCCAGATGGAGGGAATGCCAAACCACAGGAACATATGTGTGAACTGAGCTTCATTAATCAGCATTCCTCCGCCTGCGGCTCACGCTGCGGATGGCCCAAGAGAAGGCCCTCACTT